CCGCCATCGTTCCCTCCCTCGTTTTCGCCCTCGTTCCCGCCATCGTTCCCGCCCTCGTTTTCGCCCTCGCTTCCGCCCTCGCTTCCGCCCTCGTTCCCGCCCTCGTTCCCGCCTTCGTTCCCGCCTTCGTTCCCGCCCTCGTTCTCGCCCTCGTTATACCGCCCTCGTTCCCGCCTTCAGTCTCGCCTTCGTTCTCGCCCTCGTTCCGTGGCCGCCCGGAGGCCGCCCGTGGAACCCAAGGGCCGCCCGGGGAAATCAGACTTGAAACAGAGTTTCGGCCAGACCTCAAGCAGACTTTGAACGGATTTTAACAGACCTAAGACAGACCAGAATCATATTTTGGCCCAAAACAAACCTCAAACATACCTCAAACCGAACTTAAACAGACCTCAAGCATACCTCAAACAGACTTCACACAGACTTCCTGGAGGATCCCCGGAGTTTCCCTGGAGGCGCCCGGGGAATTCCCGAGGCGCCCGGAGGAATACCGGAGGCGCCCACAGGCGGCCCCCCGCCCTCATTCCCGCCCTCTTTCCCGCCCTCGTTATTGTCCTCGCTCCCGCCCTCGTTTTCGCCCTCGTTCTCGCCCTCGTTCTTGCCCTCGTTCTCTCCTTCGTTTTCGCTTTCGCTCCCGCCTTCGTTCCCGCCCTCGTTCTCGCCCTCTTTCCCGCCTTCGTTCCCGCCCTCGTTCTCGCGTTCGTTCTCTCCCTCGTTTTCGCCGTCGCCCCTGCCGTCGCTCCCGCCGTCGTTCCCGCCGTCTCTTCCGCCCTTGTTCTCGCCCGTGTTCCCGCCTTCGCTCCCGCCCTCGTTCCCGCCCTCGTTTTCGCACTCGTTTTCGCCCTCGCTCCCGCCCTCGTTCCCGTCATCTTTATCTCCCTCGTTCTCGCCCTTGTTCCCGCCTTTGTCCCCGCCTTCGTTCCCGTCCTCGTTCTCGCCCTCATTCCAGCCTTCGTTCCCGCCATCGTTCTCGCCTGCGTTCTCGCCCTTCGTTCTCGCCCATCGCCCCCTTTCCCGCCCCGGTTCCCGCCCTCGCCTCCGCCTTCGTTCTCGCGATCGTTCCTACCCTTGCCTCTTGTCCCCGCCTTGTTTTAGGCGCCTCCCAGGGCGCCCCCCGCGCCCCCGAGCATTTCGAAAAGTGCGGCGCTTCTCCTCTGCGCGCCCTGCCCCCGACCTGTCCCAGGCGGGCGGCGGAGATCGGGGCGGTCACCGCGATGCGCATCCTGTCGCGGCGCGGCAGCCGGCAGCGCTGAAGGGCGATCTTCGGGTGAGTTTTTTCCCAACCATCTTGTGGTGTTGGGTCCTCGTTTTGAAGAGACGGTGCCCCGCGTTCCTCTCCTCCTCCTCTCCTCCTCCTCCTCCTCCTCCTCCTCCTCCTCCTCCTCGCCCTCCTCCCTCCAGCTCCACCGAAGGCCCCAGTGGCAGGGTTCGCATGCCTCCCCACCACCCATTTCGGCACACTCCTCACACGTTTCGTGGCCCCATAGGGAGCTCCACCGAAGTCCCCAGTGGCAGGGTTCGCTTTCCTCCCCACCACCCATTTCGGCACACCCCTCACACGCTTCGTGGCCCCATAAGGGGCTCCACCGAAGGCCCCAGTGGCAGGGTTCGCATGCCTCCCCACCGCCCATTTCGGCGCACCCCTCACACGCTTCGTGGCCCCATAGGGAGCTCCACCGAAGGCCCCAGTGGCAGGGTTCGCATGCCTCCCCACCACCCATCTCCCATAGGGAGCTCCACCGAAGGCCCCAGTGGCAGGGTTCGCATGCCTCCCCACCACCGATGTCGGCACACCCCTCACACGCTTCGTGGCCCCATAGGGAGCTCCACCGAAGGTCTTAGTGGTAGGGTTCGCATGCCTCCCCACCACCGATTTCGGCACGCCCCTTACGCGTTTCGTGGCCCCGTAGGGGGCTCCACCAAAGGCCACAGTGGCAGGGTTCGCATGCCTCCCCACTACCCATCTCGGCACACCCCTTACACGTTTCGTGGCCCCATAGGGAGCTCCACCGAAGGCCCCAGTGGCAGGGTTCGCATGCCTCCCCACCACCGATTTCGGTACACCCCTCACACGTTTCGTGGCCCCATAGGGAGCTCCACCGAAGGCCCCAGTGGCAGGGTTCGCATGCCTCCCCACCACCCATTTCGGCACACCCCTCACACGTTTCGTGGCCCCATAGGGAGCTCCACCGAAGGCCCCAGTGGCAGGGTTCGCATGCCTCCCCACCACCCATTTCGGCACACCCCTCACACGTTTCGTGGCCCCATAGGGAGCTCCACCGAAGGCCCCAGTGGCTGGTTCGCATGCCTCCCCACCACCCATTTCGGCACACCCCTCACACGTTTCGTGGCCCCATAGGGAGCTCCACCGAAGGCCCCAGTGGCAGCGTTCGCATGCCTCCCCACCACCCATTTCGGCACACCCCTCACACGTTTCGTGGCCCCATAGGGAGCTCCACCGAAGGCCCCAGTGGCAGGTTCGCATGCCTCCCCACCACCCATTTCGGTTTCGCATGCCTCCCCACCACCCATTTCGGCACTCCCCTCACACGCTTCGGGGCCCCATAGGGAGCTCCACCGAAGGCCCCAGTGGCAGGGTTCGCATGCCTCCCCACCACCTATTTCGGCACACCCCTCACACGCTTCGTGGCTCCATAGGGAGTTCCACCGAAGGCCCCAGTGGCAGGGTTCGCATGCCTCCCCACCACCCATGTCGGCACACCCCTCACACGTTTCGTGGCCCCATAGGGAGTTCCACCGAAGGCCCCAGTGGCAGGGTTCGCATGCCTCCCCACCACCGATTTCGGTACACCCCTCACACGTTTCGTGGCCCCATCGGGAGCTCCACCGAAGGCCCCAGTGGCAGGGTTCGCACGCCTCCCCACCACCCATCTCGGCACACCCCTCACACGCTTCGTGGCCCCATAGGGGGCTCCACCGAAGGCCACAGTGGCAGGGTTCGCATGCCTCCCCACCACCCATTTCGGCACACCCCTCGCACGCTTCGTGGCCCCATAGGGAGCTCCACCGAAGGCCCCAGTGGCGCGGTGCCTATGAGAAGAGGGTTCTAGTTTGCGTGCCCCCCCTTCGTCTCATATCCGCGCGGTACTCGCAGTTGCACATTTTTGGGTCTTTCGCCAAGCTAATTTTCGCCGCAGCTGCCGTTGAGCAGTTTTGGGCAGGGTCGCGTAGGCGGGGGGCGCTGCCCCGCGCCCCCCGCGCAGGCCTTAGCCTGAGCGTTGTCGCAGGGCGGCGTGCGCAGGCGGGCCCAGCTCGCAGCATTTGGCAGCTGACGGCTGGGCCCCCAGCCGCGACGAACCGCTTGGCTTGTACATATCTTCTGCTGTTATCGAAAACGCTCGCGCGCGGGGCCGACCCGGCAGCATGCGGGGCCGACGCCGCGACGTTGGTTTCGGCGGGCCCGAACCAAACCATAATTAAATTTATGTTAGACGTCCCAGTCGCGCCTACATCAGAATTGGGCCTTGGTGCCAGAGTTCAATCAGAGTTCCAGTCGTGCCTAAATCTGCATCGGCGCTGTGGGCCAGACTTGAATCAGAGTTCCAGCGCAGACGTGAATCAGACCTTCATCGGAGTTTTGGGCCTGCACAGATTGCCCCCTGAAGACAGCCAAATAAAGTGTTCGGGGTGTTTATTTGAACTGTTTTTTGTATGAACTTTCTGGGCTTCCCCCGCGCGAGACTTTCAGCTTCGGGGAAGCTGAGATCGATTTCGTATTGAGAATATATCATTTCTTTCGCCTGGTGCCTAAGTTTGTTTTTTTTTGGATCTAAACATGTCGATGCGCACCCGCGCGCGGCGGGCCCAGGGCGCCGCCCGGGGCTTTTGCTGCCCCGGCACGAGCGCGCGGACATCCGCAATGACATTGGGCATTGACCGCGCGCCAGCATGAGGCGACGCCAAATTCAAACGCCGACGAGCGTGGCAGCAGCGCGCCGCGCGCATGGAATGACGCGGCGTTGTTGTTGTTGACCGTCGAGCAGTTTCCGCTTGCGCTTCGCCCGTCGTTCTACGGTCGAAGTGGCCGAAAGTTCCTCGCGTGGGGGGCGGGTTAAATGTTCGTGCGCTCAGACCCGTTAGGATGTGCTCGCTCGACGCGCGCGTCAGGGCCCGCGTGTCCGGGCGCCCCGCCAGTTCGCGCGTTTGGAAGCCCGCCTGCCCGCGCGAATGCCCAGCGCCCCGGACGCTCTTGTGAAGGTTCGCCGTCAACAGGTTCATTACTCTTCCCCCCGTCCTGCCAAATCTTTTTGGCCCGCAATAGTTGCCCCTTTTTCATGCCCTTTCCGCTACCGCCTCTGGGAACAAAGCCACGACCCAACAGTATTTCATGATTGTTGTTGCTGGTTGTGGGGGCGACGCTATTGATGATTCAGAGAAGACGGGCTTAGTATAATTATGGATGCGCTTCGCTCATTCCGCCGGCCTGTATTGTGCCCTCGCTGGCGTTTGGGGGTGTTTGGGGGCCTTCGGGGGTCCTCGTTGGGTTTCTTGGGGGCCTATTGGGTTTTTGTTAAAGCCTCTTTTGGGGTTTCTTGGAGCTCCTTTTGGGAACATTGGGGAGCATCCTGGGGCTTTTCGGGGCCGCTTGGGAGCCGCTTGGGGCAATCTTGGGGGCCTCGTGAGGGCCTTTTGGCGGCCTCCTGGGGTTTCAAAAGGGCCTCTTGGCGCCTCCTGGGGGCTTCTTAGGGCCGAGGTCTCGAAATGTTGTTTCGTGTTCCCCCTTTTCTAGGGCTTCTCTTAGAGCGTTTTTGAGCCCACCTTGGGCCGTTTTGGAGGCCTTTCGGGTCGTTTTGGAACCCTCTTGGGCCGTGTTTGGGCCCTGTCGGAGGCCTCTCGGGCCTCTTAGGGCGATCTTGGGGGCCTTTTGGGCTGTTTTGAGGGGTCGCGATGCCGAAAAGGTGGAGACGTCATGCTAATGTCAATGGTAATGTTGACGATCGCCATGGACACTGTCTCTCAAGCCTTTTTCTGTCCGGACAAGGATGCCGGTCGACCCGTCCGCAGTCGCCTGTGCCTTCTCCATAGGCTCATTCTGCCTGCTGGCCCGCTCCGCGCCGCCGGCGCCCATCTGCGGTTGCCAGTGCGACTGCGGGTCTCCTGGGTGGCCCACCGCCCAGCTGCTCGCCGTCGCGGCGGGGCAGCTCGTGACGGGCTGGTTCGCGGCCCGCTGGTGGGCGCCACCGAGGCCGGCGTCGCCGCTCGTGGTGGCCGCAGGGCTGGAAGGGATCAAGCAGCTGACGCTGCCGGCTGGGGCTCGCGGCCGGCTTGAGGGTGGGGCGCCACCGTCCGCCTGATGGCAGATGACCTCTCGGTGGCCGCCGGAAGGCGCTTCTGGGCCCTGTTCGACGCGTCGGAGGGGGTCTGGCACGAGCGCCTGGTGCTGCGGCGCACCGTCGGGGGCCACGTGGTGCTCGCGCCCGACGGCGACGTCTACGAGGAGCTGCTGGAGGACTACGAGGCTGCTCTGCCTAGTGGTGTGGCTGGCGGCATCCCGAGCCGGCTCTACGGGCCGATGATCTTCCGCTACGCCTTCCGCCCGGGGGACATCGCTCACGGCAGCGCCTTCCGGCGGAGAGCCGAGGCCTACCTGGCTGGCTGGGCTGGCGCGCCTCCGGCGGCCGAGGGAGGAGGGCGGGTGCCCGCGCCCCTTGCTGACGCTGGCGCGATGTCTGCCCCCGCGCGTGGCTCGCTGGTGCCGGCCGCCGACGTCGACCCAGGCTTCTATGACCCCGGCGCGCTGGTGGCTCACGCCTGCCTCGTGGGCTCCGAGTGGTTTGTCGGCGAGAACCAGGGTCCCCGCCGACGCGGGGAGAGCATCACCATCCGCCCTTCGGACCTCGCATTCGGCGTCGCGGGCCAGGCCCTGCTGTGCCGGGAGGGAGTCTGGTACCGCCTCTGCCGCGACCCGCCGACGCCGTTGCCAGCTGGCGAGGGCGAGGCGGCCGCGGCGGAGGACCTCCGCACACTGGCTGTCGAGTACAACGTGCGCGGCGAGCGCACGCGCAGCTTCGAGTCAGCTCGTCACCTGCTGCGCGAGGAGGTCCTGGACGACGCCTGGCCCGTGGAGGGCCCGCGCACGGTGCAGTGGCTCATCGAGGCCTTTGCCCACAGCGGCATGGCCCCCGTGCCTCGCCATCACTGGTGGAGACAGGCGCTGGGGGCGACCACGTCGGACCCGGGGATCGACGAGCACCTCTTCCTCTCGGAGTGCATCCAGCATGGGCTGCAGTATGACCAGCTCAACATCTGCAACTTGGCCTGCTTCGAGAGCATGGCCCGCCGCTACCAGCTCTGGGAGGAGCGGTACCAGGAGCGGATCCGCGCCTCCACGGAGGGCTCGGTGGCGGCGGGCCTCGCGGCTGAGAGGCACTTGTTCCTCGGCGGCGACCGCGCCAAGGGCTACGCCCTCATCTCGCCCGAGCTGGAGCGCTGGGTGGCGAAGCGCATGGAGGAGCAGGCCGCCGTGCTCAAGGAGCGCCGCAAGGGCCGCGAGGAACGGGCTCTGGCGGCGGCGGCCACAGGCGGCGGCGGCGGCGGCGGAGCTGGCCAGCCGCTCGGCGCCGACCACAAGAAGAAGCTCAAGGACAACAAGAAGGGCAAGGACTGGCAGACTGGCACCCCGGGCGCTGGCTCGGGGGGGCAGGGCTGACGCCTTCCTCGCCCGTGCTACCCTGCAGCGGCCCCGGAGTCCCCCCGGCTGGGCGCCGCTTCTACACCACCAGGGGAGGCGGCTGAGCGCTTGCGCCGCCGCTATGCCGCCAGGTCTTGCGGCAGATCCCAGGGACCTGCTGCCGCTGCCAGCGCCCACCTCGCCTGTGCTGCGTCAAGGGGATGCGCTGGGCTTGGAATGGTTCTCGGCTGGTCTGCAGACCCTCAATGAGATGGGAGGGCGCGGTGCTGTTCGACGGACTGGAGCAGCCTCTGGTCCTCAGACTGACGCGCTGGAGCGGCTTCGCAGCCCCTATGCCACCGTGCCCAGCTGCCCGTCGGACCTGACCGCCGACTCGGCCACGCGCGCCGTGATCGGCTCCGATCCTGGCTATGGCTTCGATGACATGGCCAGCGGGAAGTACGCCTCCTACCAGCGCGGGAAGGTCTCTCTCCCGCGCGTGGCCTCTGGCGCGGTGGAGCTAGCTGCTGCACTACCGGAGGGTCCACGTTCTCTGCTGATGGGTGAGTCTGGCACTTTGCTGATGAGAGGCTCCACATCTTCTTCTTCGTTGGCGAAATTGGCTTTTGACCGAAGGCTGGCAAGCAATCCTCGCACTTATGGGAAGTTTTTGGCTGACCTCCTCGAGCGCGACATGCTCGAGGTGGGCGCTTCGTTTTCACAGGTGGCGCCCTTCTTCGTCTACAAGAAGGATGGGACCCTCAGGCTGATCTTCGACACAAGGGCCTCCAACACCGAGTTCGCGGAGCCCGACTACGTCCCCCTTGCTGCGGCGCAGGCCCTCGGCAACATCGAGCTGCAGGCGGGGGAGCGCCTCTTCGTCGCGCAGGGCGACGTCACGTGCTGCTTCTACCAGTTCTTGCTGCCAGTGCACCTGCGTGAGGCCTTTGGCCTACCGCCTGTGCCCTGGGCCGCACTGCCGCTTGCCGCTCGTCGGCTCGTTGGGGCGGCACCGCCGGACGGCTTGGTGCGCCTGCGCCTGAGAGTGGTGCCGATGGGCTGGTCATGGGCGGTCTACTTCATACAGCATGCCATGATGGAGATCCTTCGCCCCTGTGCCCCGGCGGACCGCTGGTTGGCCCAGTACGTGCCTCGCGAGCCCGTCTGCCCTGGCTCGGGGACCTCGCTCATCTACATCGACAACTTCGCGGCACTTGGCACGAGCCCCACGGAGGCGAACGCTCGCCTGGAGCAGATGCTGGGCGCCGTGGCGGCCGCTGGAGTGGACGCCGCGCCAGAGCCTGCTGGCGCCCCGCTGCTCGGGTTCGAGCTGGACCCGACGGGCGCGCAGTGGCGGCCTACGGCGAGGAAGTTTTGGAAGGTCGCGCTGGCCCTCCGCACGTTGGGCTGGGGCCGTCAGCGCCGCACAGGGCGCCAGATTGCCCGGGCCGTCGGCCACGCCTCGGCCATCATGCTGCTGCGGCCCGAGATGCTGTCCATCTTTTCGGCCGTGTACGTCTTCGCCGACCGCTACTTCGGGCAGCCGGCGCGCGTGTGGGCCTCAGTTCGGCGCGAGCTTCGAGCTGCCTGGGCGCTGCTGCCGCTCGCCGTCGCCGACATGAGCCTACCTTGGTCGCCCGCCGTCGCCTCGGTCGACGCCTCGCTGCATGGCTTCGGCGTCACCGAGAAGGCCTGGCCCCCCGCTGAGGTGGGTCGCGTCGGCCGCGCCTCAGAGCGGGGACGGTACCGTGGGGCGCTGCGCACCTCCCGCCGCCCGCGCTGCCTGGTCGAGGGCGAGGAGGCTGAGCCCTCGCTGAGCGACATTGTCGACGCCTCGCCCGAGCAGCTGCGTGCGCTGGGGCTGCGCTCCGCCTTCGAGGAGGTGCCGTCGGCCCTGGCGCGCGGGGACGACTGGGGCGTGGTGGCTGCGCGCCGCTGGAGGCGCAAGGACAAGATCCTCGCGCTCGAGGCGGAGGCAGCCTTGTGGCAGGTTCGGCGGCTGGCCCGCAGCCGCCTGAGCGCCCAGAAGCGGCACTTAGTTTTGTCGGACTCTATGGCCTGGGTCCTCACCTCGTGCAAGGGGCGGAGCTCGTCGTGGTACCTGCTGCGGAGGTGCCGCGAGTTTTGTGCCATGTGCTTGGCCCTTGGAGCACGTGTTTCTTTTCGGTGGATTCCTTCAGAGTGGAACTCGGCGGACGAGCCCAGCAGGAGATACGACCCATCTTCGTCTCATCATGCTCGTCACTTTCACGCCGCACTTGCCCCCTCAGCGGATTGCCCAGCGGACGTTGACCGTGGTCACCAGCCGCCGCCTCGGCTCGAGGATGATTGTGGCGACTCGCCCTTCACCCAGCCGATCGCGCTCGCCGAGGCGCGGCTTCACGGGCCAGCGGGCGCTGCTGGGCTTCGCGAGCAGCTCGCGGCGGGGCGCTCCAAGCGGCGGGCCTTTGCGGGGCCCTTCGCCGCGGGGCTCCCTGGGCCCGAGCCCGCTGCTCTGCAGGGTGCTGGTGCCAGCGGCGAACCTGAGTCCGAGCCGGGCCCCGCCTGCCCCGAGTCGGGTGCTGCGCCCTCTGGTGGCGCCGGAGACGGGGGGCGGCGTGGCTCTCGGGGGGCCGCGGCCGGAGGGCATTGCCCTGCCTCGCCGCCACGCCTGCCCTGCCAGCCCGCCCCCTCTGCAGCCTGCGCCGGCCTCGGGCCGGCTGCCCTGCCGCACGCTGGCTGCTGCTGGCCCCCTGGGCTTGGCCCGCCAACCTGCGCCGGGCCGCCTGGTCCCCTATCGCGGGGAGTCTGGCTCGGCGCGCCGGCTGCGCCGCGAGACGGCGCGGCGGCGCCCGGGCTCATCGCTGCACTCGGCCGCCTGCAGTGCGGAGGAGGCGGAGGAGCTGGGGTTCCACATCAGCTCCCTGGCTGCCGCGGCCGTGACGACGGCAACGCAGAGCAACTACCTGAACGCCCTGCGCAAGCTGCTGGCGTGGCTGCACGTGCCCAGAGCCCCTCAGCGCCTCCCTGCAAGCGAGTGGGACCTGTTGCTGGAGCAGTACGTGGAGTTCCTGCACGACCGCGGGCTGCCCGAGGGGGATGCCTCCAGCACGCTGGCCGCAGTGCGCTGGGCGCTGCCCGAGCTGCCGCGTCCGCTGCGCCGGGGCTTGCCGCTGGCGACTGCTGCGGTCACTGGATGGCGCCGGCTCGAGAAGCCGCTGTCGCGCCCACCAGTCCCTCGGTCGCTGGCTGTGCTGATGGCCCTGCGACTCTGCTCCGACGGCAAGGCGGACTACGCTCTGTTCCTGCTGTTGACGTTCGAGACGTACATGCGGCCGAGCGAGGCGCTCAGCCTCGTCGGCCTACAGCTGGTGCCGCCCGTGCCAAACGAGAGGGGGGCCTGCCAGTTCTGGACCATCCTGATCCGCGCGAGCGAGCTAGACGTGCTTGGCAAGACCGGCGAGTTCGACACCAGCGTCGCCCTGGACCTGCCGCGCCACCGCCTGCTGGAGTCGGCGCTGCGCCTTCTGAAGGCCAACAGGGGGGAGCGGGAGCGGCTCTTTTTGTTCCACTACACCGACTTCCTCCTGGCCTGGAACAGCTGCCTCCTCGGCTTGGGCCTGGCGCAGCTGAAGGTGACGCCGTACTCCCTTCGTCACGGGGGGGCCTCGGAGGACGTGTCCTCCCGCTCGCGGGCCCTCCTCGACGTTCAGAAGAGGGGCGGCTGGCGCTCGTTCCAGAGCGTGCGGCGCTACGAGAAGCATGCCAGACTGGCCTCGATGATGCACCGCATCCCTGCGCAGCTCCGCGAGGAGGCGCAGCGCCGCGAGCGCGAGCTGGCCCGGCTCTTGCTGCCAGCCTGCGGGCGGCGCGTGCAGATGCTACCATGCTGAAGCACAGCGTCTTCGTTGACCTCTTTGCTGGCACGGCGCCGGTGAGCAAATACCTTCGCCGCAAGGGCTACGCCTGCATAGCCTTCGACAAGCTGCAAGGGCCGCAGTTCGACCTCGGCCGGCGCGAGGTGGTGCTCACCATCGCTGGCTGGCTTCGTGCGGGCCTGGTGTGGGCCCTCTGGTTTGCGACTCCGTGTATCACCACCACTCGTGCCCGCACGGACAGATCAGGTCGCATGCCTCCGCCGCTGAGATCGTCTGAGCATTACCGTGGCTTGCCTGACCTGTCTGCTAGCCACCGCGCACAGGTGCGCGAGGCCAATAGTCTCATTGACTCTGGAGGCCGCCTCCAGCAGCTCGCCTGGGATTTGGGCATCTGCTGCGGCGAGGAGAACCCACAGACCTCCATCCTCTGGTGTTTTCCTTCTCGGCGCCGAGCTCTCGCTCGCGGTTCCGTGGTCGATGTGGATTTCTGTGCTGCTGGAGGGCCCATGCGCAAGAGAACCAAGCTAGTCTTTCAGCACTGTGGCACGGTCGAAGCCCCGCACCTGCGCTGCCACGGTCGCGGGGGGCTCTGTTCTTTCACTGGTCGTAAACATGTGCACATCCGAGGGAAGATGGGGGGTAAATGGCTCTCGAAGGTTGCGGAGCCATACCCCCCAGAGATTTTTAAGTTCATCGGCGATGTTCTCATTCATGTAGTCCATCGCCGTGCTGTGGCCACGCTCAGCCAATTGTGAATCGTCTTGCTAGCCAGCTTACTGCATAGGAATGGCGTGATTACGGGATTTCAGTCTCTGTTCCTGCGCTGGCGTCATCCAGCGTGTGCGCAGGGTCCCGCATGATAAATCGCCAGCGTTGCACTTCGACTGACAAAAAGTGCTGGCCAGAGAGCGGGTCATGCTAATGTCAATGGTAATGTTGACGATCGCCATGGACACTGTCTCTCAAGCCTTTTTCTGTCCGCCCAAAGCCAGCCCT